TGGCTGTGGAAATCTTGTGGGGTTATCTTGCTGTGACAGTGTGAGCCTTGGGCTCAGTCTGTGGAGCTGGGAGCAGCTGTACAATAAGCCCTTCCAAACTCCCTGTCTTTGCTGACTCTGTCCTTCCTGCTCTAAAACACAGGAAGCTAAAGAACGTACAAGAAGCCTGCATCAATATGCCTGGAAACCAGCCAGGCATGACATATATGGATGTTCAGTGGGAAATAGGAGAACAAAGAAAGTTAATGACAAGCGAGAGCCAGGAAAAGGCTACTTTACTACAAAGAGGTGAAATGGTTGTGATCTGCCAGAACAGCAGCTTATTGACTTTCTGAATGAAGCGTGTCTGATCTAAACCTAAACCAGTCCATCACTGTAATCGGAACTGTGCAAGAAGCTAAACAAACTTGGAAACTGCTTTAAACAACAGCAGCACTGGAGCCAAAGGGAGCGACTGGAAATTAACTGACAGCTGAAGCATTTTTTAATTCTACAAAAATCAGAGCAGAACCTGGGCTGACAGCAGCCTGCAGTCTCCCATAAATATTTGCAGCTGTGAAATGATTAATGAATTGTCTGTTGGGATGGAGACAGGAATAAACATTATTTCTCCAGTAGAGTCAGTAATCTGGGCAACTGCTGACTAGAAATAGGTCAATTCTCCAGGTCTATGCACTAGATGTGACAATTGCAGCAATTCCAAGAGATTGACATTCTCTTTGTTACAGAAAAAGGACCAACATTGCCAGCTGCAGTCAAAGAAGGTGGTGCTTGAGTATGTCTGGCTATAACCATGAGATCCTCTCTGGGGAAGCAGCTGGGTGATATCAAGGACTCACACAACAGCATGTTAGTTCTGGAGGTGTGAAGCTAGTTGATTGTCAGTGACTTACTTGCAATACTAGAGTGAGGCAGTTGTCCAGTAGTAACTCAATCACAGATGATGTCATTCTCTCAGACAGATTGAAAAACAGTAAAGTTTTGTTGATCCTGTTCATCTGGACATTCAGCCGCTGTTTAGGTATTTTAATTTAATTTTAATCAAGGCTATGAATGTAGAGTAGACTACATGGTGGTAATCAAAGAGAACACACTCAAAGGGAAGAAACTACAGTACCAGCAATCTGACATTACATGTTTTTTTACAGATATGTGGACGGACACATGTAATAAAGAAACTTTGACATTTGGTTTCACTGCATGAGGCCACCCATGGACACCTCAACTGTTTTTCTATGGAGAGCCTGCTCGAAACCACAGCTCATTAAAGACACTCAGATGTCTTTCATTAGAGCTTCATACTTTACACTAAAAGTGAAGGACCTCCCCTTCTGCTTCCAGGAGAGACTGGAGCAGTAAACACTTCACAGCTCAAATTGTTCCTGTTTTATGTGTTCATGCATACATGTGATTTAGACAGACACATGGGGAGAGATTATTGCTCAAAAGAGGACTTGAGCATGAAGACAGATTGTGATGTCAGCAGTTTAACTATTTAATAACTGTAGCTAAGAGCCTGCAAAAACCTCTGTATACAATACATTTAACAGATGTTACCCGCTGTATTATATTGTAATAGAATGCACCCCCTAAATATCTCCTACTGTTGTGGTAGAAAAAAGTAGACTCTCTTTTAATTTTAAGGTTTTATGTTAACCATTTCTTTTGGCTGCTTCCTTATTCACAATGTATCATCACAGTGGGTGGCTCTGCATATCTGGCACAGCAATAACACTTCTGGTGCAACCCTTCCAGTGTGTCTTAAAATTAGGTAAATACAAAGACTTCACATATTACACTGTGCCATTATTTATTTAACACATTTTTAAGCCAAAATTTAGAGGGCTTGTATAAAAATGAAGTACAGCCCACAATTCAATAGCTTGTACCTTCAGCAGCAGTAAGTTGAAAGAATTGTTTTCTGCCAGTCTCTGGCATCGCTGTGGTGCTCTCTTCTTTCCTACGTTGCTACAGTTTATTGAGGTTTACGGGTATTTGTTCATGCACAGCTCTCTTTAGGTCCCATTGCAGCATTTCAGTTGGATTGACGTCTGGACTTCGACTGGGCCACTGCAACACTCAGTCACTTTATTGTAGACTCTTGGAAGCACTGTCGTGTTTCAGGACCCAGTTTTATTTCAATTTTGGCTTTTGGGCAGATGGCCCCAAAGTTATAAAATGCAATAAGCTTATAAATGTTATAAATGGTCGTTCATGGTCAGCTCAATGACTCCAAGGTGCCCAAGTGGTGTAGTTGCAAAACAAGCCCAAATCATCATTCCTTTACGGCCATGCTTGATAGTTGGTATGAGGTGTTTGTGCTGATGAACTGGCTCTCGCCACATGGTGCTCTGCATTACAGCCATACACCTCTGCTTTGGTCTCATCTATTTAAAGGACACTGTCCCAGAAGCCTTATTGTTTCTTCAAATTTGCAAACCAAAGCTGTGGTGCCAGAGAAGACACTTTCCTAGCGTGCAATGGTGTTCAGTTCAGTTCTAATTGTACTGTCATGAGCTTTAACATTTAAAATGACACCTTTAGAGTCTCATGTTAAATGCCTGCAGATCAGTCAATAACAACTATTAGTTAAAGTACCAACGTGCTGCTCTGTGAGATGTCAGCAATCTAAGACGTAGTATGTTCTTTAAAATTACAAGGAATAAACTTGGAATGCTGTAAAATTGCAAGTTTGAGTGCAGTTGGGGATGTTTACTGCACGCCATAGCTGTCTCATCTCTCATTTCCTGTCATTTCCCTACATTTGCTTATCTGACAAAGAAACCCAGCGCAAACAGCGCATGTAATTTTTCTGTCCTGCTAAACACAAACTGCCTCTATTTGTGAGTTACACAAACTCACGGAGCCTTCCAGTTAAAAACTCACGCTGTCACAATAATAAACAAAGAATGACAGAGTTTACAGCCCTGCAAATGTCTGCTGTCATTTACTCCCAGCAGAACAAATTCTTCATTTTCTCAGCAGACCTTGTAGAGCCGAGGTCAGCGTTAACCGCTTCATACCTCCCTGGTGTTTCCGGGGCTGATTTTAGAAAGAGGAGGCACCCCATCTAAAGAAAGAACAGGGAAGAAAAGGGGCTAGAGGTGCACTGGCGTTCAATGTGGTGAAAATATGAGTGAACAAATGTATTTGTGCCAAAAAACTGTGCGCTAAGAGAATGGCACCCAGTAAAGGCAACAAATCAAAGTGATTATATTGTTTAGAAATTGTTGCTCTTATAGGATTTTTAAATCTCATAAGGTTGGAGAGCACGTGTTATAGAAAAGACTGCTGAGGTTGGTGCTGGCTAATCGCATGTGAATGTCTCGCTGTTTCAGAGCTCATCAGGTTGTTGACCCGCTTTCAAACTCAAGGTAGGATGGGCACGTGTGCAGGCAATTGAGGTGAATGGCTTTAAAAGGCAATTATTTGTGCCACGTTACATCTTTCCGCTTGAAATGTTCCCCTACGGCACAAAGCATGTGTCGCAGGGGGCAATTGTACACATTCATCACTTATGTCTCACAGAGCAACACAAACACACACATTGATCGCATCTATCTCAGTGTAACAAGTTCGCACATAACGTGTGTGCCACTCCCCAACAAAGAAACAAACACACTCACGTTCATGGGAAACATCACACATCCAGAAGAAACGCCTGGGTGTGGCTCTGAGTCTAAGTGGCATTATAAATCAGCTGGGAGCCCCCCACCCCCACCCCCCAGCAGCTGCTCCCCAGGGAACCTGAGGTCACATCTATTCAGCTGGTGGCTACTGGCTACAACTCCCCTCATTGTCCTACATTTACCCTCCTCCTCAGTTAGCATTCCTCCCCCATGTCCTTACTGTCCTTCCTCCAGCCCCATCACCCTCCTTCATATTGCCTTCTACCCCCTCCCCCCTCCAAACTCCCTCCATCCTTGTCTCTCTTCCTGCCTCCATTTTCCTGATTAAACTTCTAGGATCTTTACCTAGTGGTGGTTTCAGTGCAGTGGGCTATATTATTTACAAGGCCTTCACTCTCCAGCTCTCCTTTAAATGACTGGGGGGTTGGGGGGTTACTCAATAAATGGAAGTTGTTCAGCCTATCAATCACTCACTGCATGGGCAACAACAAGCAGCAGACAGTAAACACGTATAAAGTCTTATAGCTCTGTTTTTAGGTTTTTAGCAGTTTTTTGTTTTTTTTTGCATATATTGGTAAATAGACTGAGGTCAACAGTATTTACAAAGTGGTTCTATATAAAATAAATAAATTAATGTTTTGGAAGTTATGACTTTATGTGACATTGTACCTACATTATAACTAATTCAGACCTTTGTGGCCACTTAAAATATCTTTGTAAAACTATTATGTTTTATTTGTTGCAAATTCTCTTTAAAAAGCCATTTTTAATGCCAACGATACTTTTTAACTAGATAAATAAAGAATACATTTTAGTCCCTTTGCCAAAAACTGATTGCATGTTCTACCTTGTGACAGGAATGTTGTTTGTGTCTGAAGATGATATCATTTATTATGATATCATCTATTATTATACATTTGGCACATGTTTTGCATATTATAGGCCAACAACTCATCTATCTAATTTTAATATTATTTAATCACTTTTTTGCAAATACCGGAAATCACTTTTTGACGATCAGATTTCCGAACACATTAGTACACTTCAGTTTGACTATTAATGACAATGTAACACACTGACACATGGCCAGTAACCACAACTATGCCCCATAAACAGCCAGAATCTTTACATTTTAAATCTGCATGTCTGTCATGTCAAATTAAACCACAACACAATGCCCGTGATTAGATTATTGCAACGGGTTCAAGTATCAGTGAAAAAAAACGTGGGCGATGAGAAAAATAATAAAATGTTACAAACTTTATAAACCTGCCATTAAAATGTAACAGTGACAGTATAAACTGGTTACGTTTATAAAAAATAAAGAAAAAAGATGAAAAAAGAGGAAATAAATGAACGAATGAAGTTTACCTTGGCGCTGTTATTTCATACAGGAGACATAAGCAGAAGTAAGCTAGCGTTTGTAGTCCTCTGCCCGCAGCAGCGGCACAGGCAGACAGCAACTATCTGCCCTGCTGGCACCGGGGACCACTCTCTCCTCCGAAAAGTCACTGGAGATTTATCCTGCTGCTCATTCCTCTCTGCAGAGAAATATGTCGGCAGTATATATGTTTAAAACCAAATATTCGGTAGTTGGAGAGGGAGACACACTGGTCCGCACACTGCCTGGGCGGACCTCTTTACCGCGGACTAAATGAAGGGGACGAGCGAAGAGTGAAATCCTCAGTCCTCCGCCGCTGTTCCTAAAAAAATAAATAAAAAATGCAGCAGCATCGCGGACAATGGCACACCGAGCGTTTCCGGTTACAGCTCCTTCAACATAAAATCAAATTCAAATCTTTTTATTTTTTTGTTTATTATCTTTATATTTTATAATTGTATATATAACAAAAATAGGAAAAAATTTCAATAACTTTTAAGTTAAAGATTTTTATAGCCCCTTTCGAGAAGGACGAAAGCTTTACAGAAGAGTAAGAATTCTCTGGTAAATGGAGATTAATGGGGAATTCCAAAAAAACAAAGACGGTGGTAGAAGTCTTTCATTTCTTTTCTTTCTTTTTTTGTTTATATGGGGTTAAAATTTTTGTAATATCTGGGGTAAAATCTAGACCTTCTTAGTACTGTATCTTAGTACTTTCTAAAATACAGATGTCCTGTTAACCATTCCAATTAAAGTTTCACTTCCTCTAATTAAAAAGTTTTCCCAATGCGTCATCAAAGTCTTTTTACGTATTCAAAAAACAAACAAACAAGCTTTGATATTTTTTGTTTTGAAGGCGCGCGCATTCGTTTAACCGTCTTAATTTTGCTCACTTGACCCTTATGTTGCCTACGTCAACGCTAGAAGACAGCCCCACTCACGCTCACACATACACAGTGTGTCGGTATAATACTAACTCAGTCCGTAACTCCAATTAAGTCCACATCTTTAATCACCATCAGCATCATCCTCATCACTATAAGGACAGTTGGCTCTGTACTTGTACCTCACTGTCCACTAACAGTTTCACACTGAAGCTAAAAAAAAAGAGTAGGCTATAAAGTTTAAATACATCTGATTAATTATATTTTACTGTGTAATTTACTACAAAACATTTTTTAAAAATCCAGTCGTAATTTCTTCTACTCATAGTTTAAATATGATAATTTATTTAAAATGTTTTTGTTGTTAATCCAATTTAGTTATATAATAAAAAGTTATATAAAACCAATAGAAAACAAAAAATGAAAAAGAATAAAATCAAGGGTTTGCTGTAAAGTATCTATATTACTGAAAACCTGAAATTCGAGTGGACTCTTTAAAAATGTGTAATACTTTTTTTTTAACAACCACAAAGCTGAAATTTATTTATTTTTTTATGAAAATTCTTTTAGAGGTATTAGATGCCACAAATACAAAATGAGCCACTACCATTACTTTTTTGTATGAGTTCTAGTAAATAAATAAATAAGTAAACTCACCCAGCTATTTATTTACTTTAAACTTTCTGATTTGTTATTTTGTGCCTGAGCACTAGTGGACACAGTGGGGGAAAGAAAGTGAGAAAAAATAAACAGTGGGCCGGAAGACCCTCAAATCCTGTTTAGCCTCCTGGGAGTGTTTACAAGAGAATGCAGCTCTCTATTTCTCACAGAAAGATCTGTTCTAGAAACTACAGCTATTTCTTTCTACTTTTTTCAGGTATTCAGCAGTAGTTTTAAAACTCAAAGTATGTTTTTTTGTATTATTACAAGGATAAACGTTGATATGACTTGTGATATGGCTCATGTAAACGACATGGCTCATATCATTCCAGAGAAACAGAAATTGCTGCAGGTTCCAATTAAGTTGTGATTTTACTGATATACATCCCAAATCACACTTAAGTAAGAATGAAGACATTGCTGAAAGGGAGCAAACATTCCCCAAAGAGGCATTTGTTTTGGATGGGCATTTGAATGCAAATCTAGACAATCCTACAGGCAGCTCCATGAGACATCCTGCAAAAGGAGACATGAGTGGATATTCCAGCAGTGATCCACTGTCTTTCCACTGAATAATAGACACCATGCTATGAAATAAACAATAAACAATAGAAGCAAAAAAAACAAAACTTTAATATAGCAATTTTTGTAAATATATACATATAAAGATATAAGCTATACAGATTGTCAGTTGCTTTTCTTGCCTATGGTGCCAATAGAAATTATTGTGAGCTGTTATTATTTTCCCTGAGCTGGGAACTACAACAGATCTTAGTGTTCCCCCACTTGCCAAATCTCACTGACTGTTCTTGTTTTTCTGTTTAGGTGTGGAGGCAAAGTCAACCCCTATTTTTGTATTCTCTTGTGCTGCTGATTTTCTAAATACCAGATTCAGATTCAGGTCCTGCATGGGTGGCTGACATTTTTTTTCAGATTAATATAGAAAAACAGAAGTCCTTGTTTGTGCCCCTGACAGTTTTGTGCTTTAACTTTGGATGATCACGATCACATGAAATCTCACGCTGTGATTCTCACGCTGTGAATTAGAAATTATGGCAAATACTTTTATCTCATCCTTTCTGGAATATTGCAATTGCTTGTTCACTTGTCTCAACAAAACCTCCTCAGAATGTATGCAAGTTGTTCAGAATGCACCTGTGAGTACTGTCAGGTCACTTTCTAATTCAGATGCACTGGCTCCTCGTCAACTTCAGAGTCCACTTCAAGATTCTGGTTGTGACTTTCAGAGCTCTCTGTGGGTAAACACTGATGTACATCACTGAACCTTTACAGCCATTTGTCTCCAGCAGGTCTCTGATATCCTGCGATCAGGATATCAGAGACCTTGTGTTATACAAGAAAACTAAAGGAGACACAGATTTTCCCACGTTCCCACTAGACTCTCCCCCACTGAGCCTTAGATCTACGGATTTGGTGGTTTCTTATAAAAAACAACTAAAGAGCCATCTTTTTAAGTAAAGTTGCTTTTGGGTAACTTTTTTAGAAAAATTTTTGTGATATTTATCTTAAAAGGTGCTATATAAATAAAATTGTGCATACATTCAAGCAAAATTCACATGATAAGATCAGACTTTAGCTTTAAGAACATAAAAGTACGGCTCCATCCTGCCCTGTATGAACAATTCAAGTTGTTGCTTGTGGTGTAATGTTGTGGTTCCTTGGCACATCTTGGGCTCCTTAGTACTGAGCATCATTTAAAATGCCACATCCTACCTGAGTAGCTACTGTTGCTGATTATATCCATCCCTTTTTGGCAACAGTGTATAATCTACTAATGACAACGTGCCAGGTCACAAAGCTCAAATTATCTCAGATTGGTTTCTTGAATATAACAATGAGCTCGCTGTACTCAGGTGGCCTCCACCACCACCAGATCTCAGTCCAAGAGAACATCTTTGGGATATGGAGGAATGAGAATTTCAGATCATGGATGTGCAACGAACAGATCTGCAGCATCTCTGTGATGCTATCATATCAATATGGAACAAAAAGCCTGTTCCTAATGAAGTGGATGGTGAGTTTTTGTAGCCTTTTTTTGTTTTTTTACAGCCAATGGTATAAACGTGATGGGCCGTAATAGCTGAGGTATCCTGGATAAATGTCATAGGACTTCTGTGGATTCTGGAGCCCCCCTGTGGTGGGATTTGGCTACTGCATGGACAGGGGCATAACAAATACGATTTCAAATCTAAGTTTTTTTCAGAGCTGCACTTTGAGGGCAGACTCCTTCGTCATGGAAAAATAGCGAGATGACAGACACAATTTCCTCTTGTTATAGCAGGAAAGGCGCAGATAACTAACGGTTCTGTTTTATTTGGCAATACCAGTAAAGACTGTGTAACACAGCAGCTTATTGAAGTCAGCCAGTCACTCTGCGTCCGTGATAACATATCACAATGCCCACAATAAAAAACAAACAAACTGTGTATTATGTTTGCACGTATTATAACTGGCAAATGATTCCTAGTCCACTAAATCATTTGCAGACATTAAACAATATGGAAACAAAAAAGAAAAATAATGAAGCAAATACACATTTACTGTAGTGCTCTACATTAATACATTAGAGACCGTTTCATAATAATGTTCCTTTTATTTAACAAACGTGGAATATGATACAGAATAAAGAACTCAACATTACTCCACAGAGCCACCCAGTGGCAAAATATAAAACTACAAGTTTCAGATGCGAGCCTGTCCGGGACGTTACTAGTGCTGTGGTTATGCTGCTATAACTTCTTTCCTGCAAAGCTAAAAAGCCTTTACAAACTAGTAAGTCAAACATTTTCAAATTTCTAGTTGTGACAAAAAACAATGTGAGTGATTCTCCTCACAGTGCGACTGTGGCTTTGATTTTTTGGCTCTATGTTACGTTTGACCTGGAGAAAGAGATTTTTTTTTTTACTGATATTGTAGCTACAGCACTGACTGATTCTTAATAAGTGATAAACTAATAGCCTTTTAAGGAGGTGATTCAATAATGACTTCTGCAGATTTTAATAAGAGCGACTGCACTGGTATAGAATAGCAAAGCTAAACACAAAAGGGATTTTTCATTATCCCCAAAATTAATAATTAAAGACTAATCTTTAGAATTAGTAGATAACATATTCACAAAGAAGCAGCACTTTAAAGCCTTTGGAAAAGAAGACTTTAAAACCCAAAGAAGTACTGCTAAATAAAGTATCCATATCAGACACTTTCTAATTGTGGTGTAGATCAAGCTGCAATTCTCCGTCAATCGTGCCACACAGATAAATGACTGATGATACTCTGTGTGTTAATGACTAATTAATTAGTCATTAATTAATGTTAAGCATAGTTTTGCAAGATTATTAGTTTTCAGCAGTCTGAGGAGAGATAAAACAACGATGAAGTTGGGTTTGCATGCTCTAAGCTCTCATGTAGCCAATAGCGTGTGAAGGATATAGCAGCTGAAAGATGTTAGGACTCTAATTTGCTTGCTAACGATGATGAGGGTCCTGCTATGTCTTTCAAGATGTGTGTATAAGCATTCCTCAATGAGCTGCTTACATGCTATCTCACGCTCTAAATTGAAACTGACACTGAAACCAGAGATTTTAAAAATCACTGTGGTGATACTTTCTGTCTCATTTCCTGGCCTGCCAAAATAAGTGGCAAAACGATATGACCCCTGTAAATTTAGAAGAAGAAAAAAATCAGTGAAAATGCAGTTTGAACTAATGATAGACCAGGATCAAAATCCAGCTGAGTGACTGATCCCAGCTCACATCAGCTTCTCATTAGTGGTCACCACCCGCCCTTTACTTTATGCCATCAGTTTCACCACTGTTAACTACTTCAGTAAGGTGTAAACTCACATTAGCAGAGTTCTGATCTGGGATCAGGAGGTTAATTTTCACCTGTCATTGCTCAGTGTCAGGCCAATCGAGCCGGTGAGTTGTTTCTCTTTTATTAAATGCAGAAAAAAAGTAAAACTCCTCAGCAAAGAAAAGTTCATCCTCCTTCGTGTGGAGACGCTTTTTTTTTTATTGTATCTTTGGAAAGCGGTGGCAATGAGACAGAGACCAGACAAAATAGTTCTCTTTTAACATCACTGCGTTGCCTTGATAGTGCTTTCACATCACTCTCAAGCAAAAACAACAACAACATAAAAGATGCTGTTTCAAAGAGCTGCTTGCTTATGAAGCTGCTGGTTTAACCCTTCACAGCAGGGCCGTGGTTTGGATGTCTGACTGGAGCAGAAAAAGAAAGAAAAAAAACCATTTCAAAGCCTGAATTACAACTCACAAATTCCCTTTTCAATTTTTTAAGGCCTTTGCTGTTTATTCCTTTCCCCTCCCGCCCTTCACAACAGTAAATTACAGAAGCAGTACTGAAAATAAAAATCTTAATTCCTTGTTATTGTAAAAAAAGAAAGAAAGAAAGAAAATCTGCACAAAATTCTGAATGACAGTACAAAACGAAGGGTTAATATGCCATGTAAATGTACGGGGGAGGGACATTACTGCTGGGAGGAAAAAAAATCTCTTCTGCCTTTTCAATAACGAAAACATCTCAGTATTTTTACATTTCAGAATTATGTCACATAATCTGAAACTATATATATATATGCATGTATATATAAAAAGAACAGAAAAAGAAAAGTTTTTGATTTTCTTCAGTTTCTTTTCTTTTTTTTGCAAATGAATGCTAGAAACACATAAACCTCTTAAATATATTTGTCAGTGCAACATTATTTCTTTTGAGTCCACGCTACAGTATCCTTTCTCCTTAGCTGCAGCAGCTACAGTGCTCTACAGCTGAAAGCACAGGTGGGGGAGGGGCAGGGGGCGGTGTAATAGCTGAGGGGAGAGAGGGTCGCCCGGTCCTGAAAAATAAAATGAACAAGCTGAGAACGTGTGTTCACCACGGCACAACATACAAAGCACATCCATATAAAAAGACTCCACGCCTCCCAGGATTGATTTTTTTTTTTGATTGTTTTGACTGTGGCACAAAACTCCCCCACTGAGTTCAGGGGCCCAGCAGCCTCGTGGAGGGGGGGGGGCACCACCACCCTGGGATTGAAGAGTTCACACCTGGGCGACGTTTCACTTCTTTTAAGCTTAAAAAGAGATAGAAAAAACAAACACGTTGCTGTTCTCTGTGAGTGTCCTGCCATAGGCTACCCCCTTTTTTTGATTTTTTTCATGGGGAAGGGTGTGGAGAGGAGGGACTGTGGTCTCACTGTATTTTGTGTTGGCGAGGAACCCCTCCTCCCCCTCCAGCCCTCCACCGTATGTATAAGGGGGCAACCATCCTTTGGTAAAGCCACGGAGAGAGGCCTGGGAGTCTGATTCAGGTGACGATGCTCGATTCCCACCCCCAACCCCACCTCACCCCCACTCCAACCCACTGTACCAGCGTCCTGTCCTTTTTGACATCAGCTCTGACATCACAACATTATGGCTGCTACACGTGAAACACGTTAAAAACTCTTCACAGCCCCCCAAGAGGAGGAGGTCGGGGCGCTTGAGCTACACTACAGCATGTGGACAATACAAACTGGGCTTTTTTATTTAAAAAATTTTTTTTCATCATGAGACACATGTGTCTGGCTAAATTACTGATAGCACCATTCGTCAGTTAGTGTGTTAACCCCTCTTTTTTACAGGTTTCTACCACGAGGGGCTCGCAAAACAAAGTGCATTCAAGCTGCATTGTCCAGATAGCACTGCCTGGGTGAACAATCCACAGTGACAAGACAGTAAGGGATTTAGATAAAGCAAAGCAACGAGGATTGGTGTTTGTTTGTTTTTGCCAAATATTTGATATATTTTACCACCTCCTCTGAAATTGTCACGAGTGTGTTTAAAGTTCTGGAAAACATCACAGTGACCAGTTCAGCTCACAGCAGAGATATGGCGTGGTCATGAGTGATCAGAAGAAGAAGAGTGCTGAGAGTTCATCTCTTTTTTTTGTTTTGTTTTTGTGCGTTTGCTACCTCTCGATTCATTCATCCTTGGGGCTCTTTTTGAGAAGTGGATGTTTCGGTGACAGATGGCTTGAATGCACATTGAAATCGCTGGAGCGTCAGCGAGCGGGCGAATCGTGCTCAGCTGAGCGACTGAAAATGAAACACTGCACCTTCCACGAAACAGTCCAGGAGATTGTATTTACACACACGCACACGCAAAAATCCATGACAAAAGGGATACTGTAGCTTTTTTTTTCCTTTTACTTTTTACTTTCTTTAAAAAAAGGACAATAAAATATATTAAAACTTATTTACAGTGTGTGTGTTTTTGTTTTGGACAGAAAACAAACAAACAAATACAACAACAAAAAAAACCTGTGATAAACTCTTGTCCTGTTTTGCAGGTATTTCTAAGGTCATGTGCCCCTGTTTCCTGTCATTATAGCTTAAGCCAAGTACAGTAAAAAACACCGATATCAACAGAGGATTCCAACAAAAACGTATTAAAGGCACTGTCAGAACCATACGTTGCCATGAATGGGACCCTCACTTTAGAGTGATAGGGGTCAAAGGGGGGGAAAGGGTACATGTCTCACGGCACACTCTGTTTGCCACGCCATGGGGCGAATCTACAGTTTTTACCGGATATGGTTCACTTAGGATGTCAATACGTCTCTTTCTAAAAGGTGAAAACAGCCGTTACCAACTGATGGTAATAATAAAAAGACGTTTCTTTTTTTTTTTTTTCCAGACAACGATAAATACTTTAAACATCATTAATAAATTGGTCTCAACACCAGCATCCGATTGTAAAAATGAATGAAAATCAAAATAGAAAATTAAAATATCATCTGAATCATCTGTACATATTTTTTTCCTGTATTTTATTTGTACACAGTGTCCCTCCCCCTTTACTGGTAGGCTCTGTTTTTTGTTTTTTTTTTAAACTGCAGCTCCTGAGAAAAGCATGGATCAGTCCAGACCTCCTGTTGGTTCCTGAACCTGTCCCTCGTCCAGAGATTCGAGGGCATCGGCAGCCCGTCTGCTTGCAGACAGGCGGGATTATATGCCTGCAGACAGTCTCGTGCGAGAGCCCGGCCCATCGCACACAGTCACATGAATGCGCTCTGTCCTGAATCACGCCTCCGAGTACGAGCTCTGTACGTTGAGTTTGTCTTTCTTTAGCTTGACGCCGTCCACGAGCTCAAAGTTGTAGTTCTCCAGAGCTGACAAGTTCCTGTCCGACATGCCTCCGTGTGAGCAGGCGCAGTACAAGACCACGCCGCAGATGGCCCCCAGGAAGACCCCGAGGGCAGACATGGCGATGATGGTGATCAGGATGGGGTCAAGCGTCTTTAGCATGCTGCCTTCAGGGATCTGGTTGTTATCCACAAAGTCTGGATATTCTGTGTTTTCCGGAACTAGAGAGGAAGCAAGGAGCAGAAGAGAAAAAGAAAAGTGAGAAAATAAACTATAAAAGGTTAGAATGCACAACAAACCTGATGTGTGAAAGGACTTACTGATTTCATTAATATCCTCCGGCAATATCGGCTCAGTGGGCACGTCGGGATCTTTAAAGAGAAATTCATATTAAAAGCAGAGCTAAATGACAAAATGCAGTCAGAGCTGTGTGCCAAAGTGCTGTTTTAGTTCAAAAACTGAAGGAAGTCACTGAAACTAAGCACAAAGCTTCACCTTTACAGTCTGGCAGTGTGATCCCATCGAGAACCTTAATGTCATCCACAGCAATGTCTCCCCAGCTCTTTCTCTCCACTAGACTTTCGATCACCACCTTGGCAAAAAAAATAAGTGAGTCTCTAGAGGGACAGCACACACACAAAAAGCACAGGTAAATTAAAAGGTGGGTCAGTTACCTGATAAGGCTTGTTGGTGCGTGGCACGAGGACACGACCTTCCCTCCAGCGGTTGCCTTGGTGGCCGCTGACTGTCCACAGTAGGACATCTGCAGGTCCCTTCTCCGTTTGCTTGCGCTGCTTGATGTGTAGTGTGCCGATGTGTGGCCCAAACATGTGGTACCAAAATGACACACAGAGGTCCGAGTCCGGGGAGCTGACCACGGGGCTGACGAGTCGAGCCACCTCTGTCTCTTGGGGGCTGGTTGCTAAGGTGTAGATGAAATTCCCCGGTTCACCTGTAATGTAAAGCCCTTGTATCAGCAACACAGAGGTAAAATGCCACATGTACTGTGTCAGATGTTGTGAGTCTATCATCTGAGGTACTTACCTGTGTGGTCCATGTTGGGTCCGATGTTGAGGGTAGGCGTGCCGCTGGACTGGATCTGCCACCTAGATCCCGTGTCCTCCGATGTCCAGCTGCAGAAGGACGGATCATTGGCTCGGCCAAAGTCGCAGGCAAACCAGAGAAAAGCTGTGTGAAGAAAGATCAAGATCATGTGTCACAGGAGAAAAAAAACCTTAATCATTCTGCTTATTACAAAAGGAGAAGCTGCCTGTAGCCCTGGGCTCTATCCGAACAATGACCGCAGGGCCTGTCATGGTATAACTACAGGCTACACTTTGGAGCTTCCTTCTCTTATTCTGCTCTGGAACAGACCACTAGAGGGCAGCAGATAACTGTGGGACATAAGCCTACAGTCCTACAGGTGGGGGTGATACAAGCAGCTAACTCATGAAGGAGAAGCAGGAGTCGGACAAAAGGTAAATTACAGTTCTGACATGAGAAAGAGTGTGAACCAATGGCACAGACCTCATGCAGTCCTTGTGTCTTGGCTGTATTTAATGATCTCTTCTAATGAATGCAACAGGGTATGTAAAGAATGCATTAAACGGGAACACTGAGAAGAGTCAAAACCCCCAATGGCAGGGACAGGAAGACAGATGCCTGGACACCGTGCCCAGTTGGGAAAGGAAACATTCATAGCAACCCGCTGCGAACTGACGATTTTAATGAGAGCAGGGACATGGGATTCGAAGACAGCTATGGTAACAGCGCCGGGGCCCCACTCCAACAATGCCATCCCCTGTGGACACACGCCGTGTCGAAGAAGCCTTCATCGAGGCCAGAAAATGTGTGGGAGCTCGGGCTTTAGTGTTTTCCAAATTAGATAAAGAAAGACTTCAAGGAACACTGGGGAAACGAGATGTTTGGGAGGCCAGCCATAGCTTTATTCTCCAACATGAAATGCCTTTAGAGATACCACTCTCTGAATGACAGAATCTATGAGCTAATATTCCCTTAAAAAATGGGAAGGATTTAACTAACTTCTGCAGGCAATGACGCTATTTACCCATTAAACACAAAGGATGGAATTCCCATCACATATCAACCACATTTCAGGGTCCAAGCCACCATTTTCCCCATAGAAACTTCATTCCCAATTAAAACGACTTTGGCTTTTTTTTCCATTATGAGGAGCCTGTGACTCACTTGGCCATTATGTATGTATATATATTTATTTCTCCATGAATGTGAGTGGAAACTATATCCCCTGAGATGCATGGTGCATGACACACACACACATTCACATGGACACACACACACAGCTTATTAACATGCATGGTTTGAGAGTCTTGAGATGAAAAGTCAAATAGATAGGCGTTTACCTGTACTTCATTAGACTCATACAGACATACACACACAAAAATGTGCATAAATGCATACACACATTTGCATCTTAGAGCTACTCTAATAATATCGCTCGTGCCCCAAATCGAAGACAGACCGCAGAGCCAGCTGACTGAGAGAAAGGGGGTTGGGTGGAGCCTACGGCCCATTAGCCAAGGTCAGACTGGGGCACTGCTTCTTGACTGCTGCCTCATCAGCCCGCTGTAGGAGACACTGGCTATGTGTGTCTGTCCATGCATGTGGGCCCCAAAGTGCACCTAACTTCCTCCAGTCATTTGCATCTGGCTTTTACAGGTCTGTGCGCGCTCTGTGTGTGTGTCGGTGTCAGCCTGGTGATTAGTGATTATGCTGAGAAGGCAGCAGCAGAGCACCAGTGCTAATCATCGGCTAGCCTTGCATCACGTAGCCTCCCTTTACCCTGTCAGCGGGAGCCTCTCAGGGCCATATCATCAGCTTTAATAACAGACACACATCAGAGGAGAGAGGCTGGCAATCATTATCTCAGGTGTGTCTCTTGATGAATTCATGAAATTAATTCAGAACAAACCATGAGCAGTTAAACATTTGCCCCGCTGTATGTTTCATCACTCTGATGTGCAAACTTTGAAAGCACTGACCTTAAAAAATATGTATATATGGTATCTTTTGCTCACCTGGGATGGTATCCATTTCAGCAGTAGTGCTCTCTGGCATCATGTTACCACCTGTCACAATACAGAATGTTAGCACAGTTAGCCTAGGTTTGCAATGAGCTAAATTTCATTTTAAATAAGTACCCATGCTAGCTAAACTTGGCGTATCAACGCATGCCTTGTCTCTGGCTTCTTTCTTATGAATGCATTTTTTCTGGTATTCCTAGCAGGAAGAACTTATACAATACACATGACTGAGACGGTGCCATGCTCATCATTGGAGACTGCTGGTTAATGGGGGGAGCAGGCTGAGATAGTTGACTGGTTAGAAGGAAAAGTAAGCTAGGAGTGAGTAGAGGGGGGGAGCCAGAGCAAAAAGCAAGTGAGAGATGAAATGATAGAGAACAGATGTGGGTGAATTGATTTCAGGTGCAAATGCAACAATGCTCTCTGGTGAGCGCTCAGAGCTTAAGGTAAGAAGTGGTAGACTGAAGAGGAGGAGGTGGTAGCAACGGGGGCGCAGCAAATTAGAGTTGTGTGGCTGCCAGGACACACGAGGGTGCATGCATGCTTGCCAGTGTGCAGGGTACAGTACATGGAAGACTGGGTTTGGTATCAAAATCTGACTGCGGCAGCGATGCTACAGAAGCTGTGATGGCGCAGAATCGAGGGAGATGATCGAGCGCCAGCCACAGCAAAAGCAAAGGGAAATTAGGGAAGGGAGGGTTTAGGGGAAGGGGCTGGTCGCAGTCTCATGAAGGCGATGTTAGCACCTGTCACGTCGTAGTCATCACCTGTGCCACTGTGGCAGCTCGCCTGGTCGTCATCACACTCGTCAGACGGGGTGGTGCTCGGGATTGCGGTGGTTGGCGGGAGTGTTGGAGCTGGAGAGGTGACGGCGAAGGGAGAGAGAGGAAACAATACAGGTTAGATTACAGGTTAAACATAGAAAGTGCACTGATTTTAGCTTAAGGGATTTTTCGACTACTTTAAAAAAAAGTTACAGTGTTTTCCTTTGTTTTTAAGGCCAGTATCTATTGAATAGCATCACATTTATTTTTGTTAATTGTCTGAAATTCTTCTTTTCAAGCCTACGATTTAAACATATAGTTTAAACAAAAACAGAAAAGGAAAGAAAAGAAGAAGAAACAGTGAAATATATTTCTGTAAGCTCGATTGCTGTGCTCACAGTTCCATGCTGAGCGTTAGTGTAGAACTGAGCTATTAGTATCCATCCTTTCATCAAGCTGTGGAGGTGTGGGTGTATAAATAGAGCTGAAGCGAATACATGGTGCGTAAGGCTTTGAAACTAGAAGGTGGAGTAACAGGACTTGGGACTGGATATAAGCAGGGCCATTCCAGTCTATCATTATGGCCCTGCTTCACTTGGATGTGGGAAAGGCCCAAAATCCGCTCCATGGTCCAGTGCCACACAGCGGTGTGCCTTTTGGAGATTTCAGACCCAATATTTCTCGGGACTCCTTGAGGGTATCTGCACACTGAGGAACTTCCCCAACAACTACATGTCTTCTAAGGTCTTTTTTATATGCTTTCCCACTTCTGTAGGGCCGCTAATGGTGTGATAGCAAGCTAGCAGCTGACAAAGAAACATCTGCAAACAAAACAAGACTGAGCGTGTGTTTGTTGTGTTGTAAGTGTCAGGATTACAACAGAGTTGTAAAAGCAGGGTATAACTGTGTGGCGCAGACAAAATAGCCATTTGTCAGGACAAGTTTTTACACACACAGAGCTTTGGGGATTTTTTACTTTCTTCTCATCAGTCACTGCTTCACTGTGTGGAGAAGCTCAAGGTGAGAGGAAATGTGGGAGGACAGTTTTGCTTTGACGAGCGAACATTGTGTTGCATTTTCCCCCCGTCACACATAGTCTTAAAGAAGCTTGGACTTCACCGTTGTTCTGTTTTTACATGCTTTGTTTCAACTTTACAGCTCTTCCCTACACAGCTGACATGACATATATTGTTGGATGATTTTAAATTTATATCAGCCAGTATCTGCAACGAAGTATGCTTGCATCTAAACTAACCCACATTCATTCATGTCACTGACATCACTTCCTGTGCTTGGAGAGTCCAAACCCTGAAGTAGGAGCACTGGAAACGATTTGCTCATTGCGCATCAGTTTGAAACTGCCAGCTTGTCTCTTGCTGGTATTTCAGGCTCAGGTTGCCTTGGTGACTCTCTGTAAATCAACAGTATTCTTCACTGTCTTTGGTAGTTTCACTTGCTTGAAAGTTTATTGTGGGTCCCGACTACAGCCTCTGGTCTCTGGTCACTATGTCACCACAAATTCCTTCCAGTTTGTATGCAGCTTTGAAACGCTGCTCTTCGAACAGGGTTCCAAGAACTTTTGATAGTCCTTTTTCCTGCACTGTATGGCCGCACAAAAAAGTGTATTTCCTCCAATAGTTATAGGAGCTACAAAACACTTCCTGTAGTCCAAACCTTTCATAAGTGTTTGCACTGTCTGAGGATTAAACTGGCTTCCTCAGTGCAGGCCGAGGAGAAGGAATGAGGAGAGAGGCGACAAAAGGGAGGCGAAGACAGACAGGGGCAAGCATCTTGAAAAATGTGTACAATATCTGTAGTTGTGCGTGAGAGCGATTGAGTGTGTTTGTGCATGTGTGTGAGCCAATGCTCTTGCTCGCTCTCTCTGCTAGATGAAATATGAGGCAGATCAGCTCCTGTCAGATTCAGGGTGGGGAAGGTCAGGGATGGGGTCAGCGCTGCGTCAGGGGAGCCTCTCATAGAAATGAGGATTTCGGCCTTCTGCTACGGCTTGCTACACACATACACACACAAACACATTTGTACACACTAGGAGATGCACCTGCCTGTGCACTCACCCGACTGTGTACAGTTTACTGTAACCACATGTTTGGCAAGGTGATTGCGGTTGGTCTGTGTGCATAAATCTGTGCGAGTTTGTGTGTATTTGGCATTAACAGCGAAAACAAGCATTATCATCTGACTAAAGCTCCCGGTGGGAGTCCATGAGGCTTACAAGAGAATGGGCCTCCCTGAAATCCAATATGCAAATCCACTTAGGGCTAGGATGCTCCGTGTGCTTATATTGCTGAGCGTTTTTTGTGCTACATCAGCTTTGAGAGAGGCAGATAAAGAGCTGGAAAAAAAATAATGGTAATTTTAAAGATAGCAAAGTGGGCGCAGTCCTTTGAAAGAAGAAAGACATGCCGAGGTTGGGAAGAGTGCGATGAGGGCCAGGATGCAATAATCCTAGTGGGCCAGGTGGGCTTTCATTTGATCCCCTGTAGAAGTGGCTAGCTATTGGGGGCAGCTTTGATGTTACAGGGAGACAAGACAACTATCCCTTGTAAGGATAAAGAGCAGGAGCTGGACAGCTGTGGGCTCGACATAGGGAGCGCTCATGCACGTCTTTAAATAAACAGGACTTTGGCAAAGACATGACGCGCTAGCTCCTCACAGCCATGCCATTAGCTAGGATGATAGACTGCTCACCTGCGTGTGAGTCAACACACGTCAGATGTGAGCATGTAGTCTGAGAGGTCTAGGTGTGCCCACTAAGGTTATCATCACGGGGAGAAAATGAAACACAATCGAAGACAGTCTTGGCGTCAACTACGGGAGTGAAAATGTCATTTTCGTGACTAAAAGCATCACTATAGCTGAAAATGTCAACTGCTCGAAGAAAGGTTTCACTCTGGGGGAGTAACTTTGCCACCACTGGTAAACACATAATTGTTGCTGGTGGAGAAATGAGCACCACGGGTGGAAATGTCACCAGCGTCAATAGAAATACTACTCTATTTCTTTTATAGTTTTGTGCATCAAAACATAAAGGAGCATTTTAGACAGAGGACACACAATGCAATCGATTTTATTGAAAGTCCTACATGTTTTTGAGCTTTACCTTCAATCTCGCAGCCCAGCAGCTCCAGCCGCAGGCCCATCCCAGCAGGAGTGGCCCTCTCTGGGTAAATCCTGACAAAACGGGTCAGCAGAGGCTCCACGGTCCTCAGTTCAGGAGTGTCATAATTGCTGTTGCCTTCAAATATCTGGCAGGGAAAAGGGCAAGAGTGATAAAGATTAGTATTGACTGCTACAGCCCCCCAAATTCAGGTACCCTACAGCAAAATTACTCCTACGTTCTGAAAATGGATACAGAGGGTTGGTTGTTTTGGGTAGGTGGACAGATGAAAAGTAAAATAAATAAATAAGCTGACCAGATGTGTAATCTTGCTGATATCCAAAGCACAGACTAGGTGAGTGACACAGGAGTCCAGTGGCAAAGACAGCATGACTCACACCTCTGACAAGGGTAACTTTCTGCTCCTTTAACTCTTTCTCCGGTCCTCCATGTGGGAAGGTATAAACGAAGGAAAAGAGGAGGCAGTGTGGGAGAAGCAAGCCAAGAAAGAGATAGAGGAATGACGGAAGCGGATTAATGGGTTTGATCACGTGAAGATGCCTGGTGAGTCTTAGATGCTGGGAAACTCTTAGGCAAGAGGAGAAAGGACACTAACTAGGACAGCCGGGATATGGATCCTCCTCACTCCCTTCATAAATCAACCATCAGCCCATCTGGATCAGATTTATGCCCTGTCAGGGACACTTGTAATTGGGGACGAGCTGTTGCAGCTCTTCTCGGAGGTGTGTGTGCCTGCATCCGCGAGTATGTAAGTGTGTGCATGCATCGAGCAAAGTGTTGGCAAGTATGCCTTCAGCGCAAGGCAGTGCCACTGGGAGATAAATCTCTGGTCACTTCTCGACTGTTGCCCGTTCTTTCCTCTCTCATCCCTCTGACTCCCTTTCACCCCTCCTTCCTCTCTGGAGAGGTTTCACTATCCATTGAAAGGGTTGAACGGTGTGTGTGTGTCATGCAGAATACAAAGCAGGAGGAGAGAACAGGGGGAAGGACTCTGAGAGACTCAAGATGCTTATCCTAATGTGATTCAAAGCACTCCTAAAATTGACTCACAATGACTGTTCAATGACTCACAACTGCCCGGCGCGTAGTCGGGTGAAAATTGACTAAATGCGTCATAATCACAATCGATGCTCTGACGTGTCTAAGAGACATTTTTAGAAGTTGGTATTCAAATCATTTTCCACAGTGCTGAAGGTAAAACCTCTGTTAAATCAAAACGTCAATTCCAATCCTTGCTCTTGAAAAAAAAATCCTGGGTGCATGAATTGAAAAATGATACAAGAGAGCTTTGATTAAGACTAATCTTCTGATTTGATAGCAGAACTGAACACATACCCAAGTATTGTTGGGCACACTGCAAGGTAAGAGAGAAAAACCCACCTTCGGCCTGTTTCCACTGGTGTCGAGCACCATCCTCCAGTCCGAGCCATTGTTGCTGTAGCCCAGGCGGAACTTCTTCATGAACACCTTGTTTTCTCGGTGCTTCCCTCCCTGGATGATCATGCCCCTCACTAGCTTCTCCTCGCCGAGATCCACCTGCAGCCACTCATTAGTGAAGGGCTGTGGCTGGGGCAGCAGGGTCCATCCTGTCCTACTTGTTAGCAAGCGAGCATTCTCTGGTACCCAGCTCCGGTCTGTATGGGAGGACGCGGTGATCTGGTTGTCATTAATCAAGCCTGATACCATGCCCAGCATGCCTGAACACGGGTACTCTGAAAGGCAAATGGGAAAGCAAAAGGTGCTTAGCTTTTTGACACAAACAAAAGAAAACCTAGAGAGCGGATAGATGGAAAAATAAAACATGCGATCTGCATCCAAAGGCTTGAGGTTCAGCATCAGGCTTGCCACGGCTCTGCTTCAGTGAATTTGAGTTCATACAGGGGCATCGTCATGGATAGTCAAAGTCAAAGTGAGGACAACTATTCCCCAAACTCGTTGTGATGTTACTGTGATCTCTGCCTCTATTCTCTTTCTCTGTGTCTCTCTGCCTGCAGATCTCATGCATACTAATTCTTCTGCCTGAAGCGGTTGTCTCCAGGCAGCCAATTAAAACCCTCCTCTCTGTTGGTGTTTCCATCTCCTGCATTCTGGGAGCAGTTTTTCTTTTCATCTCTCTGCCCCTCCCTCTATAGACTCATATACACACAAAAACACATTCTCTTTGTGTTTTATCTGCTGCTGCTGCTGCACTCGTCTACCTTCTGCTCCGCAGCTGTTAACATCTGTGGGGCTGCATCTTTGAACACCTTGTTGTTTCCTGTCCAAAGTTCCAAACTTTTTTCTCCTCTTTCATTGTATTATTTTTTTTTATTCTACCTCTGTGATCATCTCTAGCTTAACTTTTTGTATATTTTATGAGCTTTGATTCCATCTCCAGTTTGTTTAAAAGAGAGAAAGCTGGGTTTTTTTTTTTCATTTTCTTTCCTCAAGCCTTGTTTCCAGTGACATCCCCTTGTATAATGAAGTCGAAGGGCACCAATTCGTTGCTACTGCTTGTAGAACCATCTGAATGCTTTAACCTTAAACTTTTTTTTGTCCATTTTCATGTTTTTGCCTTGATATTACACGTAAGGTGGCCAGATATAATTCCAATGAAAACTTATTGACTGTACATGGATGTAGAAATTTCTGGTTAGAACAGTCAAAACCCAGCAAACTCTAACACTACATGTGAAAATAAAAACTAATTTGTCTCAGATAATACGTTTTTAAAGCTCTGTCACACTGGTGGGCTGCTCTGAATTTAGGATTATTGTAATTTTTAGCTGTATGAACTGACCTAAGGAGAAAGTTATGCTTTATCTGTAGATAGACATAATTATGTTCATATTCTTTTATCAAATGTTTTGTGAAATCTGTGAAATAATTGTGTACCATGCGAGTGATTGATAAGGACACAATAGTTCTGAACCCAAGACGGGATTGTCTTTTTGAGATGTTGTAAAAGTCATGCACAGCAACTTACTTATGCTGTAAACACTGTAAAGGAGAGTGATTACACTCTCTTCCAGCTTTGCATTTACATTCTCTACTAGAGTAACTTTGCATGATTCATAATTAAAAATAATCCCAATGTTTGCTGGGCCTCAGTCCACATTATGTCTGAAACAAGCCATTTTAGCTCTCCTCTCTCTTAAAGTGAGAGGTCACCTTTACTTAAAGCTATATGTCCTTTAATTGGCTGCCCCACCCAAACAGAAGGTTGAACTGCAGCGCGATAGAGAGACTGCAGTAAATATTATATACTTCAGAAATTCTTCTTTGCATAGCTAGAAAGAATCCACAGGAGTCCACAAAACTTTTCCACGAGCTGCCACTCGAAGTCTGACACTTGTATTAGCAGCTTTTATTGGGCTTAAATCTTCCTGTGTGTCTCGTCCTATCTTTCCTCCAGCACTTAATCCCAAGACACTGAGTCAGAGACCTGTGCTAAGCAATAATATATTTACTATCTGGCTCCCACGGAGGGATAAGTCCCAGCATTATTACATCTTCTGTGTCTGTATGAGACAGAGCGTGCACTGTACCGCAGCAGGAATCAATAGCGTAGTTGCGTCTGGGAAAAGTCAGCGAAAACTTGGAGAAAACAAGGCCCCGTTCAGACTTGTCTTTCTCTCTCTTTTTCTCTGTCTCCAGTTATCTAAACCGGCTCCTGTGAGAACCCGTGGGACAAATCTCTGCTCCCGCATTCTCGAAAAGGTCCAAATTGGAGCTCATGTAACAAATGCTGGCTGTGCGAATGCTCCTCGACTGTTTTATTTTTCTCCCACTTTCTTTCATCTTTGGCCAGAATCTGTTTGAGAGCGATCAGTGAGCTGGGCCCTGGCAGAGCAAAGGCATACTGAACCCCCTTTGAAGTGGGAGGATACAGAGAAAGGTACACATGTGTGATAGTGCGTGTGAGAGACACTGATCTGAGCTTAGACGCTCTGCCCGAGTGCCTGGGTCATCTGGAGCTGTTAATTGACTTCAGCTGCGATGCCATGCACGCAGCGGCACACCCAGGGGAGCAAGCACAAGGTGATACGCGGCTATGTGGGCCATGCTCAGGGTTTGGGTGGAGCATCGGTGGTTTATCAGTGATATTTATACACCGCGGCATATTTACTAACAACAGGGTGGCGGATCTTGTTCATTAATGAGTAGCTGTTTAGATCGGCACGCGACCATGATGATTTAAGGGAGAACATCTTGCCGCATTCTGGGATTTTACTCCTCCTCTCCTGTGATGCCTAAGTTATGGCTTTAAAGAAAAACTGGAAGGGGAAAACTTGGAAAAAATGCAGATTTGAAAAGTCCTTTATTGGTGATAAAAGCGGCGATGAACTTTAAGAGCACTTTAAAAGCACTAGTTACTCAAGATCTTGTATCAAGGATTTGTAACTAAGTGTAGAACGGAGTGAGTCACTGAGTTTATGCAGCCCTCAAGAGCCTCAGAGCTTCTCGTTCTCTGCTAGCATGCAGTGAAGCTGGCAGTGTCTTCAGAGCACCCAGGGGTGCTGACGTCATTCCCGAGGCCCTGTGGTGACTTCGATCCTGTGATGTGTTTATGCTCTGCGCAGCGGTCTGGTCGTGCGCCCCGAAACACACGCCCCATCTGTAACCCTGCTGTACCCACAGTGCTCTGCATATGTACCAGAGAGCTACAAAGCTCCATTAAAAGTTTTTTTTTAAAAACAACACTCGACCGGCTCACATTTAGCTGGCTGCAAATAATTCCACCCCTAATTTTAATCCTGGGCGCTCACAACATTGGAAAAAATACAAGAGGCTTACTTTCATATATTTTGTCCCTGTCCACTTCATTTGTAAGTGCAGGGGAACAAAACACACATCCAAGTGCTAATTAGAATTCAATACACATGTTCATAATCCCGCAGAGAGTCAGGCAGATGTGCTAAAAACCATACGAAAGGGAGCCGCACACACATGCACATACCACACATTAAAATAACATCAACAAAAAAAAGGCAAAGATGAGACAAACAAAATCAAAGCTTTAAAAGCAAAGCCAGACTAAAGAGGAGGCTGAGGAAAGATCTGCAGGAGGGATGGGCCCAAACAGAGCCCACCCGGCTTCAGCTCACTCTGCCTGCAAGCTGTTGGCTTCATATATATTGGATGAGGTACATCTAAACATGGGGAGACATAAATAGGCAATCCTCCTTCATGCACCACTTCTCTATTATGCAACAGCTTGCTTTAGCCTTAAAGGAAGCAGATAAGGAGGGAGGTGTTTGCACCAGTGAGGCCTGGATGGGAAATATCAACTAGGTTGCCGCAAGAGAGCAGAAATTCTGACTAGAGTCTGTGGTGTAAGCTGATTAGGCGTATGAAAATGGAATATGGAGTCACTGTATGAATGTGTATGTGATCTCAGCAGCAACCAACCTGATATCTTACAGCCGTACACCTCGAAGCGCAGTGCGATGCCTGTTTCCCAGGTAACGGGACGTATCCGAACGAAGCGCGTCAGCGTGGGCTTGGGAAGCTTCGTCTTGGCAACGTCAGTTGGGTTGGTGTTGCCTTGGAAAACCTGTGAAAGATGCAGGAGGGAAGTAAGTTATCAATAGAATATGCTGAGCTGCTGAGATGCAGAATTTCTACGAGACGGAGACGGAATTCACTGGAGCTCAGAGATCGGCCTTCATCTGCATTAAGTTTACACAAGATGTAGCATTGGAAGGCAAGCTTTATGGCCACTTTTTTAATGAGATGGTTTAAATGTTTCCTCTTTCTCCATATGTAGCAGCCCCCACAGGCTGGGTAATGTGACTATGAAACCTGAGACGAGATATACCAGATTGGCTCAAGATGCTCTTTCACTGTCCTCTGTTTCCTGATCAGTTGGAGGTTTTACTGCAGTGTCTTGTTGAAAGGTCACAGACGTCACTGTCCCCCCCCTTAGGTCTGTTGACAGTTTACTAGCATCATATGAGTAGGCTGGCCACCCAGCCAAACAACTCCCCGCAGTCCGTCACAGTTCATTCCGGGTAATTGAATCACAGCAGTGACCACATGACCTCCTGACCTCCGTGACTTAGCGGCAATGAGGCAAAGAGGAACCCAGCTGAAGTAAGCAGGATGGAAAAGAGATAGAAAGGCAGTAAGTTTGGTAGTTTGGCTAATCAACTCTAAAGTAAAAAACTAAGAGTAGTTCATGCAGCTGTGTCCAACTGCTTGCCATGCACTCCTTGAGTACAGGGACATCACTAAGGGGAACCTGTAAGAAAACCTTCCACTCTCTCAAAAGTCATGCTGAGTCTCCACTCGCTAACTGTAAAGTGGCTTTTTCCGGAGCTGCGCTAAGATGCCAAACTGCAGTCTCAGCATGTACCAAATGGTGCCCCTCTGCACAAAAGCACTTTAGAGCCTGGAAAACGCAGGCTGAGTTTACCACGGTACCTTTAAGCTGCCACTTTATAGAAGTGACAGTGAACTTTGGAGAGGGCTTGGGGGACATGTACACAGCAGCACAAACAATCGTGTTTGGATGCTCTGTTGCCTTTGAAAACTTCTTGATATGAGTGGTAGCCTCACACTCTTGATTGGAAATTGTGGTATTTACATGGACACACACATTCTTCCCTTGCCCTCTGGACACCCACAGAGAGGCTTCCAGATGGACAAAAACCTGTTTGACAGGCTGATCTGCAATCAGTGGTCATCGCCTGTCTCACTCCGGTCAAGCATACTATCCCTCTCTTCCTTCCTTTTCTTGTCCCTCTCTGCCAGCTGCTCAAACACGACAACCATCGCTCCCGCTCCTCTTTATCTCTGGTCTGTCAAGTCTTTGTTTTTCCCTGCTTCTTAAATGAAAAATTGACAGGTCCCTGACATAAAACAGAGGCAACATTCCAGCACGGTCCTCCTTGCAGGGACTTTATTGCCGTTGTTTTTGCTGTAAATGTCATGCGCTTACACGGAGAGTGGGTATATTACCCTACTGATTTAAAGTGTATAATTACATGTTGGGAGAATGTGGTTTAAGTACATACAGCCCGGTATTTCCCCTTTAGTTGAGTTCGTAAGCAACTTTGAAAAGACCGCAATTTAAATCAGCTAGATGTGCTGTTTGGACGGGATATTCCAAGTGTAGCACATGTGCATGGGTGGTTTTTCATGACACAGTCACTGGTCAAGGAGGAGTGAACGTCAGCTATTTTGATCATTTATTTTCTTCGAAAACAGTCTTATGAAGAGCTACAGCCAAAGCATCTAGAAACACTATCAGAAAGTGAGCACAACATTAGTTCAGACAGGTCATGGAGTTAAGCTTAGTTGTAATCCCAGCCTGTAGGACACGCTATTAAAGCTTCTTTAACGAGGGCATAGTTGCAGCAGTTGTGGAAGCTGACCATAAACCTCCTTCACCTCGGCTCCTTCTTTCATGCTGCATCTGAACTGATCAATCTCACATTGTGATCACTGGTGCCTGAACTGCTCTGGGTTCTGTTCATTTATCTGAATAAATAAAGCTTTTTCACTGCAAAAATAGTTCATAACACAGAGGTGGTGCCGGTACACCACTCGTGGCTCAAAAGAAACTTTTAATTCTTGAGGAATATACCTTCTGTTTGGAGCCTTCTTTCAAAGTGATCCAGTCCTCTCCATTAGAGCTGACATCCACTTTGTAGGACTTGACAAAGTAAACCCTCTGGGTCTCCTGGGAAATGGCGCCCTGGGTGCCGATGGCCGAGACGAACCGCAGGAACCCAAGGTCCACCTGAAAAGGGTGAAGAGAGGAGATACAAGTTTACAGTGAGTTTGCCCATCACTTTACTTTCTCCTTTAGTGTTTCGCTGATTAGCCTGGGCAAAAAGTGCTACAATGTGAAGCTCTTTGCCTGACAACTTTTGTAAAGACGGCTTTCAGCGCACAGCCTATATTAATAATACACAAGACAAGTTGGAGAGTTAAAAATGAGTCCCCGCTATCTGATTCACCTCCGGTCATAGCCTCATCAGCAGCTACCTGGAATTTAATAAACAGCAATAAAATGATATTCGCATTAATGAAGCAGAGACAGGACGACAACTTAATTTCCGGCGAAGGGACGCGAGAGCTCATTGGATAGAAGTGAATAAAACAGGGTCTGCAATCACATCATCAGAACCCGTGAGCGGGAAAGAAAGATACAGACTGAATATCAAATGATGTGTCTTTAAAATATGCAGGGCTTTATAAAGTAATCATGAACTGCAGTACATTACTGCAGGGCTATTATATTTTCACAAGGAGACAGCCAGAGGTAGCAGGGTCAGAGAGGTGGAGGAGTGAATGTCTGTGTGTACGTATATTTTGCTCAGTGCATGGGTGCTGCACTCAGAGATGATGCTGGACAGAGAGTGGGGCTGGTTTCCATCAGACCTGGAAAAGGGAGCGCAGTCTGTGTCTGCCAGCCATCATGCCTGTTTAAAACCACCACCATCACTGCCAGGAAAGACAGAATCCTCGTCCTTACATACATATATGTCCCCATGGCTTCTGTGTCTGCGGCAGGAACGGCCTTCAAAACTTGCTTTGATCCCGTTGATTAGTTTACCAGCGGGATAAAGGTATAATTTTTCAGCCACCAGCAATAATAAATGAGCTCGCTCTGACCACTGCAGAGGCTCCTTGGACCTCACCTATCATCCCATCATCCACAGCAGAGGCAAAGAAAAAGAGTGGGTGTGGTGTCGACCTGCAAAACTTTCAAAGAATCCCAAGCCCTCGGTGTAAAAGTAGCGTGCTTAATTTTAACAAGCACTAACACCGTCTTTTGACAGGCTGAGCTGACGGTAATGAGGAGTAATGGTATTGCGTGCGGACACCGTTTAAACCCCCCCCCCTGAAAAACAAGAGAAATGCAAGAAGCTTGGGCGTTGGTGGAACAGATTTCCAAGATCACGGGGAAAGACGAAGCCTTTGATGTTGACGTGAGATGGGCTCGAGCCCCGACGGATGGCGACCAGACTCTCGAGCAGATTACTGCATCGACTCAGAGGAGGTAGTCGGCTTGAGCATGTGCGACAACAGTCAAATCCTTTATGGGAGTGTGAGCAGACAAGACACTTTAGCGTGTGCATTTTTTAGGCAATCAGAGCCAGGGTTATCTTAGCAGGGCTCCAGCTCTGCTGAGACTAAAGCCACACAGAATCTACCTACTTTGCCTGCCAACATTATATACAGTAGTGTGCTTCCCTTAATGATTCAGAGCGAAGAGCAGGGAAGGAATATCTGCATGCCACAGAATGCCGGTCAATCCCGCTCCAGAAATATAAAGACATAAACAGATGGGAGCAATAAATGAGGTTCCACTCTGCTATTCTCTCACTCTGTCCTGGCCGCCCAAAGGATGTGGATGGATGAAGACTAACAAAAAAGACAGTCAAATACGGAGACAGAATACTTTTGTTCCTGTCTACAGGCTCAAGGGGCTTTTACAGTAAGTCCCCCTGATTTCTTTTGGTCTGCAAATAGAAACAAAATCAAATCCTGTCAGCTTCAGCCAGTTCCCATTTAATAACAAAGGAACTTACTTCCTCTCTGCTGGCTAAAACGGCTGCATGTGCCAGTAGTGGATGGAGGAAGCTGGGTCTGTGCTGGCGTTTAGTGCATTAGCCAAGGCAGGTCTTTAACATCTGCATTCAAATGGCCAGTCTGACATATTTTCAGCCTCGACCAATAGCAAAGCAGTTTACTGTAAAGGCTTCACTGAAAATGCTCTAATAGGAAGACTTGGCCTTGGGGTTGTTTTCTCTGAATGGATCTCATTAAGTTTAATGGAGGAGAAGAGCCTCTGGGAACGAAATGAGTGGCGGGGCTAATTGGGAACACTCGTGGGTGCTCAGACTCAGACAATCTCAGGACATGTGCGTGCCAAAATATTTCTGATTAGCAGAGACGTTTTGTCGGTGGGTAAAAATGAGCGTTTGTGATTGTGCGATCTCGCTTCCCAGTTTTACATACTTTAATCACCTTACGCTCATTTGTTTTAAACTCCTACAAACTATCACAGTGGTGGGCATAACCAAATCGCTGTAATGCTGTAATGCTGTAATGAAAGTAAGTCCAACAGTGGAATTGAGGTAAAAAAAAAAAAAAAGGGAAAGAGGAGAGGTGAAGGGCGAGGAGAAGGTTAGGAGGGGAGGGACAAGTGGCTGACAGCGATGCCTCGCAAGATGTGAGGGACACGAGTGCAGAGTCTCCCGCGAAGAAGTGCACAGACTAGATCAATTTCACAGACACAGCCTGATAACAGGGCCTGGGTAATGAGCAAAGCATGATTTATTAATGGCTGCTTGTTAGAAGCAGAAGAACGGTGCTGAGGCTGCGCTAACAGACCGGGGTTGCACGGGTCATGGAGAGAAGGCGGGCTGCCAGGGCGCTTGGATGCAAAGCAGAGTCCATCCTACGCCGCAGAGACCGCAGTGAAAACAAACAGGCCCAGATAATGATTACTAGTGGGACTCCTTTTAGCCCAGAGCACAGGACAGAACTTGCTGACCTATATACATAAACCGATAGCCAACATTTAGAAACTGAGTGCACAGCGGAGCTTGGGTAAATAGATCACTCACAGATGATAAGCCGTTTGTCATCTGCAGATGAAAGGCTGAGTCATGTCTAATGGGTGATGTAATGACTGCGAGGAAGGTGTGAATTATGACTCCTAATCGCAGGCCTAAAGGGAGGCTCTGCGTTTCCAGACTCTGCTGATCAAACAGAACGAAAGCTTGTATCTGCTGCGCATTTGCCATATTGTTATTCTTTCCCCTTGCATAAGTGTTTGGACTCGAGCCCACCTATAGATAAATGACAACACACATTCTGGGACATGCCGGTGCACAGTAACTCATATCTGGTGGGACACACAACCTGAGCCATAAACATGCCAGGCGGGGTAAGAAATCACCCACAATCTTTCCATAAAGCAGTGGCAGGCTGATATGTGGGCAAGGCTTCAGTGTGTCCTTGTCTCCCACGAGTTTTTCCTGCTCCGGCGCAGTCCAGAATACGTGTGACTTTCTCTCTGAGTGTGCGTGCACCTGAGATGTTTTCTCCCTTCCTGTTATGAGGCAAACTGATGAGTCAAAAGCCCTATGCCCCACAAATGCCAGTGCGCGCAGCTCCGGTGGTTCCGCAATGTAATGGAAGCAGAAAGGCAGAAAGAGAATCAGTCGTGGGCTCGGGCTTGTAACATCAGCCAGTTAAAGCCTGGTGTGAATGCAATCAGGCCGACACACTGAAATCAACAGAAGGCGTCTGGATGGTCTGATTTGATTACATCTGATTTGGTGTGTAAGTTTGTGGGTGTGGAAAATATTCACTTGCTTCACTTTTGTCATGTTACAGCCTTAAATTCAATTTCTCACCTCAAAATTCTACACACAGTGCCTCATAATCACAAAGTGAAAAAAGTATTGGGAAATTCTTACAAAAAAGATTAATTTAATCCATGTGAAGAACAAGTGAAGCGCTGTGAAGACTTTTCGGATGCACTGCATGTGTTCAGACAGACGTTGTATTTCTGTATCTGTTTGCGCAAGTGTGGCTTAGTTTGAAGTTTTCTAATTATACCTCATTGGCAGTAGGAGCTGTAGGCGTGATCATTAGGTGTATTGTCTCTGCATGACTCAGATGTGCAGCAAGGCCACATGATATGTATTTCGAGGCTAAAGCCTTGTCAGTTTTGTGTAGGTGTAGAAAGAAGACGTGGTTTATAAGGCCTGGGAGGGAAGGAGGGGTGTGTGTGTGAGAGTTGGCGGGGGGGGGGCTATAAAGAAACGGCAAAGACTCAAAAGCTCTATCTCTCGCTGCTTGATTGGCTTATAATTGAGTTGCCAAGGAGTTGCATAGAGCAATCCGTACTCTGCGAGAAGAAGTACTTTTCTTTGAAATCCATTTCTCTGCTTGCCCAACAGGGGGGGGGGGGATAGCTTCCTATCTGTGTGGGCTGCTGACTGAATAACTGAATAACCAAGGCCTCTAGGGAACAAGTTTATTCGTTTTCCCTCACCAAAAAACAACAACAAGAGAAATGCCCAGGGTGAGAGAGAAAGGAGAGCTCCTCTGAGTTCCAAAGTCAACGAGCAGCTGGTAGACACAGTTAGAAGCCCCGGTCAAGGAAACAAACCCTGGACATGCTTTATGGATCTCAAAGGGTAGTATAGTCAGAAGTGATGAAGCAGGCGGAGAGTCTCGAGTCACTTTCTTTTTTTTTTTGCATACAAAATCTGATTACAATCTTCTTTGTATGGTAATGAGAGGAGGCTGACATTTCGGTGAAGCTGACATTCGCAAAGATACCTCGCCACGAAGCTAAAGAGACACGCTTCCATTCCCAGATGCAGTATTTCTAAACCAGCTTTTGGCAATCTCTTCACTAATTTCTTCCGCAGTCACTTTTGGTGTAGCAGGAGCTTTGTAGGAATAGCTCAATTACCTGGAAACTGTAATTAATTTGTTCTTTCATGAAAATTGTATTACTCAAATGCTCCGGGACCTATGAGCTCCTCTCACGAACTTCCATTTATCACAGTGTTCACCTGACAGGATTACAGTTTATTTTTAGCACCACGGCACCTCTTTGGTGGCACTGAATTATGCAGGTCTTCCCATGCGCTGATCATCTGTTTTCTTGACAAAGAGGGATGTACAGGCTGGATGACAGCGATAGTTAAGTTAAAGGTTGCCTGGTTTGTCATGCGTGAGGTGGGAGTGAGCTTAAACATATGCACTGTTGCGTGATTGGAGAGGGAGGATAACAGTCTGGCTTCAAGTTTTTCCTTTGTGAATCATCATTATAACACTAACTCCAGGGTCATTCCCAGCCATGCCACACACATGACTAACGTGCTGAGTAATGATTATGAAACCCAGAAACAGTGATAGGGATGGGAAGCAGGGCAGACCTGAAGGTATGTCACGTCTGGAAGTGGCTGCATGATCTGATCTCAGGATACGCAGCTGCACATGATCGCTTGGAGATGATGACCGGCTATGGGACTTTCAGGCACTGAAAATGAAGCTGATTATGGTTGAGCTGAGGTTTTGTCTCAGAGTACTTATGCAGCACTGTTTCATTTAATTACATCATGCTATCCCTCATGTTTCGATTTCTAGTCTGACTTTTGGGCCGCTCCAGTCGAGTGTGGGTCTCTATTCTCTCATTGATTTTCCAATTGAGCGCAAGGCCTAGAAGGAGCGAGGCACAGACAGCATCCATTGTTTCCATTTGTAAGGCACGATGATGATCTCACCAGCAGCTGCATGCCAGCCTCCGCTCCTCGGCTCTCACTAGACTTCATCAACTGAGAATCTGCTGTTAATTACTACTCCATATTCTAATTACTTATCACTTGGTATGGGAAGTAAGCCCAAACAGAGGCTGAGGTAAAGAAGCAGACAATAGCAATGAAGGAGACATTTTCACAAATCATTGATCTAGGGTTTAGAGAACATTAGAGGGTGTGTCAGATCCAAGCTGCAAGAGAGCTAAAAAAAAAAGCCAAAACTAACGATATAGACATTATGACATCATGCAGTGGTTTCTGGTCTCCTCATTTTCAAGTGTTAGACTTTTTGCAGGTGACATATTGGCCTTTCCAAACCAGAAATAGCAACATTTGGATAAGCGAGTAGATTAATAAATTATCGGCTAAAGCTAGCATCCACAGTTTGCACATCTGACCATCAGCGCAAATTAACAAATGAGTAAGACACAAGAATTTGACTCACTAAAACTGATGCACGAACCTCTTGGATGGTCTGCACCGCATAGTTGACCAGCTGTTGGTTATGGCTCCCCGTGTTAGCATAGCCGTCAGGTAAAGATAAGCCTGAATGCTTTTTGGGGTATTGGTGATTTTTGGAGCATTTTCTATAAAATTAGCAAGCTCAACTCTTAGGAACGGAAAGTATAGTATTGTAATTTAGCACTTATTAGTGGGAAATTATGTCTGTGTCATACACACATGATGTCTATGAAATCTTTTTCTTACTAGCATTAGCATATATGGTTAGTTCTGGCTGTAAAAGAAAATAAACAAACGAACTAGAAGCAGTTGCCCATAATGTTAACTTGAGGCTTCAAAGTGAGACTTTACAATCTAATCTGACATAACCATGCCTTTGTCCATTTATTATATACAGCCTGTGGGCAGACCACATGGATTTAGCGTTCATTCTTATCTGATTGGTGGAAGGAATTGCACCATTATCAAGGCTCTCTGCAAGTGTTTGATTGGTGAAGGTTTATCTGGCCTCAGATTCAAAGCACAGTTTGCTGTATGGCTTTGCCTGGGCAAATACACCCAGGAAGGGCTGTGCCCCCCCGTGTTTCAAATTGCAACTTAAACCTGTGACAATATCCCCCGCAAACGGTTGACTTTACCATGAGATTAATATTGCATGTGGGAGATAAAGAGGCGTATTGTGTCAACAAACACCGATATGCTTCTGAACCTTTGATGTCTGCAACAAAGGTGAGATTAAAGCACGCATGACAAGAGTAAAGGGACTCATTATCTCCATTTATGATTAAACAATTTAGCTTATCAGAGACACATAAAAAATACATAAATACTGACAAAGTAGTCAGGGATAATGCATCCTGACAAGAAGATTGAAGATAATGGCAGGATCCATTCCAGCTAAATTATAGATATGGAGACAAGCTCAAGCTCATGAGCATAAAAAAAAAAAAAATAAAAGCCCCAGCTGTATGGGATAGCGTGTACTGTATATTGCCATTATGAGATGCTCAATAAAGAGGCTTTCAGGTATTGACAGTTGGGTTCTCTCCAAGACAGTCTAAATTATTCATGTTGTGTGTATGTGCAATCAATGGCAGCCGTCTCACAGAGATTCAGTCTTGGAGTGTCTTTTATTGAGTCCTTCAGATGCTTTACTGACTCTTGGTGGCCATCAGATCCTTCCTCTGACATCCTTGACAAAGCCATTGTACACTATGTGAGCTTCTCAGCAATTTCCCTAATCACGCTCCCCGAGGAACCATTACACCAATCCATAGACTATACCTCCCCTTCAGAGTTAAATGTGTTGTACAGATGCGGACATTTCCTCACTGGTGCTGTGTGAAAACTTGTGGTGTATCCTCATTTATTATTTTTTTAATACCTCAACCTGCTCCAGAGAACCCCACTGCTAAGCATCTGAAAAAGACACACGTCGCGCAGCAGGGTAATTCGTACAAATCTCTTTCTACCTTGATGTAGATTTGTAAGCCTAAAATTTTCAAGCATGAAAAAAGAAAGACCTGTTTTGAGGGATTATTGTTCCTTCCTTTCCTCCCTCTTCCCTCCCCTGTAAACCTCCTCAAAGGACATCTGTCCATCTCCGTGTAGAACAAAGGGGCTGATTAATGACCTGGCTAACCCAGCACTCAATGCTGTACCCACCACACCAATCTAATTACCCAGCGGAGAGCGCACAGACTCCAGCATCTCGCCCTCCTCCTTTCCATGTATCAGAATGAGGCAGTATTAAAATGGATGACAAATCTGGATTATGTTCGGCAAAGAAGAGGCAAAGCAGAGCAAAAGAAAATGCCCAGGAATCAAAGGCCGGGCTGTCATGAATAATAAAACTGTCTGCCTCAAACTGCAGTCAGGGGATGATAATGAAATAAATAATGAATTGATTACTATGCATCTGACTGCGCACTGAGATGATTTGTACGTGCCGCGAGGGGGGACTGAGCTTGTTGCAACACCACGGACAGGCTTAATGAAAGAGGAATGAAGAATTCTAGTCTTTTAATACCACTTGTGATAATTGGACTTCTGCTCGGAGCGCTCGGCACAAGTACATCCTCGGAAAAAAAACCAAAACATAAATTACGTGGCAAGCGCAGACTTGGCTCTTTCACAGAGTCTGAAATTAGACAAGTCTCATTCTGTGTTTTCATCTGATTAGTATTGGGAAATCAGCATGCTCATTAGACCACATCCCTCCTTTTAAAAATGCAGATTTTACTGCCAAATCAAATCCTCAATATGATCAATACTAAAACAGGGGGAGGCTGGAGTGGCAAGAAATCATTGTGATAACTCACAACATGACATGGAGGAGAACCAGAGCGGCGCAGCCTTCAAGTCTAAGCTGTTACACTTATCGGGCTGTGAACAATGGACTTTCCTTTTAGAAAGACAAATGCTGTAATGCAACAGACCATCCAACCGCTGGAGGAAGTGGTAAAGGAGCCCGTGCCTTGTTCCACTCTGACACATGCTGAGTTCCTCTGCAGGACAATATGGACCCTGCCAGACAGTCCCACTCATCCACAAACTCAAGTATGAACGCACGGACACACACAAGCATGGGAGAGTGCGCGTAAACCGGCGCACGTACACACACTGATTAAATTAGTCTGAAGGAGCAACAGGGGCCCCCAGGACAATATTTTCATTGCAATAATAAAGGAAAAGCTTGCTTATGGCCCTCCCCAAGCAAATATTTGGCTTTGGGTCAGCTCTATTATTCATCCCCCGAGGAATATGCCGGAGCCAAAGTTTTCAGCAGTGAAGCAAAGACTGTAGAAAAGAGTCGAAAAAGACAAACAGTCTGGGCATTTACGAGGCCTGGAGGCTTTCGGTTAATAAATCAAACAAGCTCCGAATGCATCTAGGTAGTGCCTCAGTGGGTATGTCACTGGAGGGGGGGTTGTGCTGTGAGTGGACTTGGAATATGTGACTTATCCCAGTCTAGGGATGGAAGAACTAAATCCTTAATCTTCCCACATAAAGTTCCCTTGGTGGGTGATGATCGTTTTGTGCAGATAAGCTGACAGTCAGAAAAAAATATGATGGAGCCTGTTTGTGTGTTTGAGAGTGTCTGTGTGTGTGTGTGAAGCCAGGCAGGACGCCTGGAATAAATCCCAGCATCCCCCAGAGGCGGTCTCTGTTATCACGGAGAAGGAAAAGTTATCAGATAGGACAAGAAGACAGAGGGAGGGAGAGAGAGATAGGCAGGTAGGTAGACAGTGATAGAGAGAGTGGACTCGCAATTTTTGTAAGGCGTGAACTTAACCACCCCAGAGGTCCATCAGGACAGCTGACATTCATCATCGGAACTGTTGGGTGTTATGGAGAAGCTGCACCTCCAGAGGCCGAAGAACAAACACGGAGCACACCGACTGTGCTCGAGCAGGCAGCGGTCGCGTCAAATACACAACACACCCTCAGACTGTGACGCACTTCCAGAAAGACAGACCACAGACAGCTGGAGAATTGTTCCACGCTGCCTTTTGATTTAACTTCCTGTTAAAAATTTAAATGTTATCCGTGATGTGCTGTTATCTTCCTGTTAGTAGGTTACCTGTATCCACTCTTTGTTGGAATCCTCTGCTGGTGTCCATGCATTTTCATAGTAGTTGAGTCTGGAGCGCTCTGGGGACCAGCTAGGATTGTACTGGGATGAAACCATGATCTGATCTGACGTTATCTCTCCCGATTCCATGCCTAAAGGGTCGCTACAGTCAAAGTCTGCAAAGGGAAAATGTAAACAATGTTTATTTCTGAGTCAAAATGCGACACAGCAATGTCTTTTCAGTGCCCCCCACCCCTGCTACAGAATCAGAGCTTATCTCAAGGGAGGAGGCCACCGCACGACAGCCACTCAGCACTGCCGGCCGGGAAAGAGGAGCACATCAGCAGTGCCTCGGTAAATCCTTCCCGCGTCTCTCCCTCTACTTTTTAATGGAAGCAGGATGGAAGCGTTCCGCATTAAGACGTAAAAATGTCCTCATAAAACATTCAGTGTAGGCTGGTATTACGCGTTAGAGTGACTTTCCCTCCAGTAATTTTTTTTTTCCACTGACTGGATCAGTTTCCCTTCACTTCCCTGTGGGCAGTTTATTTATTTATTTTTTTAACCTTTCTCCCCATTTTCTCCCTTATTTGGTCTCTTGTGGGAGTTTAGGTGTGTTTAGTGTCTGTATTTGGGGACCATACATCACACTCAGTGGTCAGCCCCATGGGAGGAGGTGCTTCACTTGTTAGTGTTAACTCTGGGCAGCTGATTTGTGGTATCCGGGGCTCCGTAAACGAAAAGACTCCGCTGGGTCAGATTGGGGTCAGCCCCTCTAACCTCAGTTGGCTGGACATACTGACCCTGCTGTAGAGCGATGAAGAAAATGACCTTTTGATCCGGGCAGTTTTTCATTAAGTTCACCACAACAACACAGAGGTATGCGAAGGCACACTTACAGCCACTCATGTAAGCAGCTCTTGTTTATTTACTTCCTTTTTTTTTCCCCAATGGGGAAATTGGTCATAAAGCAAACTGGCAATCCTTCAAGCAGCGTGTTAGCATAAATGTAAAAGCTTATGACCAAAAAAATACAGTCATTTGCTTATATGCAGACACACATGCACAGATTCAGAGGGCTCAGGATGGAGAGTAGTGTGGAACTGCTGTGTGGCTGCTGCCTAAAAGCTAACACAGATGGTCTCCCCATCTGCTGGCCTGCTCACACGCCTCAGTCAGTGGGTCAGCGTGCATCCTTGTGCTTTACAGTGTCGACGTGTGGCTGTATACGCATGTGTTCGTGCACAAAGGTATGCCGGAGTCTCCGTGTGAGGCCGAGAAAACTGTCTCGCACCTCCCGCATTCATTGTCGCCTTTCTTTGAAGGCCGTTCTTGCCAGACTTTTGTACTGGGACCTACGTCACCTAGAAAAAACACAAGGAGGTTGTCTGTTCGCTTTCAAAGGTGGTATCTGATCACGTGGATTAGCGACCAAAGCGGGGTTTGATAGCTGAGGAAAATGGCGACAGTCGATAGAGGGGATGAGTGTATGAGAAAGAACAAAAGACAAGGCCTCTTTTCAGCGCCTTATCGCCTCTCATCAGTAGCTTTCAGCTGGAGCGTACCCATCCCCTCGCCACGGAGAAGCGAGAAAATCCACCGTGTATTATGCATAAGGGGATTATGAATGATTCAAGCAGTACAAGCCTGGAAAAGCAAAGACAGGGTCTGGAGATTTTTATTTTCATCTCGGATTTGTTTGAGTTGGTGATGTAAGCCCAAGCAACTGACTTCTAAATGAAGGTGTGCGCTGATCACAGGTCAGATATTTCACTGGGCCTCTTAAGGGCGAATGTGAAAAGCTGCTCCGCGTAATCTGATCTTGGACGCGTGATTAAAATAGCCCGAGTGACTCGGAGTAAACTAAAGAGAAGTGACATAAACAGTCACAGCTCTTCTCGTTGCTGCGAGGTGGCCTTGTTTTCATTTGCAGCATGTGTACAACAGCAAAGTGTGCCTTCCCCTTTGGGTGAGATAAAACGCTCTTTGGAGATGATTAGTAGATTGGCTGGATTTCATCCATCTCTGCTGCTATTCAAAGACCAAATGTGTGGGCGTGGGTATGTCTGTAGGGGGTGGTCTTGCCTCTGGACAGATTTATGACTCCTACCAGGACTTTTCCTCCTTGATGAAATGTTTAGATGGAAAGTTTTGCAAAACGGGGTCAGGGGGTCAGGCGCCGTGACAGGGACACTGAAGGTGAAAGCCCCAGGGATGTGTGTAAGTGTGCGTCCAGGGTTGTTACTGGTGAGGAAGCCGTCTTTTGGAGCCCGTCTGGGCTCATGGTGTATAAATGTAAGCCTTGTAAACCACAGGAGGCAGACTTGTAACCAGTAACACATTCCCCAAATGAAGAGGCAGGAGGTGTTTATTTAATAACTCTTATGAGTTCTGCTTAACAAGTGGGAACTTGTCACAACAGGACCCACTGAAAGTAGCAGACAACATCTGCTTCTTTGTGTAATATTCTCCGGCTGGTTACATTCTTGCCCTCTAATTCTTTTACAGCTAGTAACTTTTAAAGTTTTCTTTCACTAAACAAATTTACATTTCTGCCTTAGTCATCCCACTTGTGTACCAATGTTCTTTGTCTACCTGTGATTCAGCCTCCCTGACATCCCCATCTGTCTGATTTTAAGTGCTTTTTTCTGGGGGGGGTTTGGAGTGTATGCCAGCTCACCCTCTGGAACAGTTCTTTCGATGACGGTGAAGTTGGCAGAGAAGCCTTCCTTTGCAATGGCGCTGTCGGTGTTGATTGTCAGGGCCAGGATGCCTGTGTAAGAGATGATCCTGCCCGGGGTGTTCTGCCCGCAGTACCTTCCGACGTGTGGGCCAACTGGAGAGAGAAAAAGAGGGAATAAGTGCAAACATATAATATGTTCCTCGAGTTAGACTTGGGTGAAGGTCACACATGGCTTTTAACTAGCTCCTCACCCCCACCGTGGAGGTGTGAAACCTGGTGTGTCAATCGACCCAATAAAGAAGAGCGAGAAAAGACTGTTTGTTCGTTTGCCTGCCACAGGGGAAAAAAAAAAGCAATGGTCATGGTCTCTATTTGCTGGCTGTAAATACCACAAACCTCCTGTACCCACAATTGTTTTCTTAGACCTGAGGCAGACACAGCCGTGGCCCAGCGAGGCCAAACAAGTAAAGACTGGAGCGAGACAATGGGGAAGCATTAAAAGTCGGAAAGCAATAAAAGTGGGAGAGCGATGTGTTCGGCCGGGCAGACTGAGAAGAATGGGAAAACAGGATGGATGAAAGGTTGGAGGTGGAGAAATGCAGGGAGAGTGAGAACGATGGGGGTGATGAGGGAGGGAGAGAGAGAGGGTGAGTGCGGGAGCACAATGACCTTGCCCTGCGTCTCTGATGTGTGCTGTGATCCGTGCGCACTGGTGAGTGTGCGTTCCTGTTGGGGGAGCTGGAGCTTATCTGTGATTAGTAATGCTGTGATCAGCAGCGAGTGACAGTCCTGCCTCCCCGTGGCCTCCTGTCATCCAAAACATGCCACTTCCAGCCCAGCTCCTACATGAAAGGCAAAGGCCAGACTGCTGGGGCTCGGGGGCGGGGGGGCGGGAGCAATGTGACGGCTCAAATTAATCTTCACAGACCAGGTGCCTGGTGAACAAATGTGCGACTCTACTGTATGTTTGCTTTTGAACCTGAGCTGAAAAAACATCTCCTGGATTATCTGCATGAGTCCCCAGCACTATGATATTTTCAAGAACCTTGCTGCCTTTTCTCCAGCCTTTCCCAGGGAAATGGCTCGCTGAGGTTCCACGACACACCTGTTGAGCGAGGTGCACTTTAAGAATAGGGGTAAGGAGTAGCACAGATCCTCCTCCCCCCTGCTGCTTCACGAAGACCTGCGCCTGCCCAAACGTCTCCCATCTCTGCCTCCAGTCTTCCGTGCTAATGCATAATTATCGATCTTGCACGCACCACAGGAACCACCTGGCAGAAGCCAACATGCTGCTTTCCTCCCCTGGCTTATTTTTATACAGGACTGTGGATCACACGTGGCAACACTTGAGTGACGTGACGCTACATCAGTTCAAAATGGCATTTTCCAGTTCCTGCTCTCATCAAAGCTTCCTGTATGCAATGATGAACTGAGACAGATCTGAATCTTAATCATCAAGCAGTGCCGGAAATGTTACTTTTTCTAGACCCCCAGTGTCTTCTGTAAAAATATGTATTAAAAGGTGTTAATAATGTGACATATTCTCAGCTCCCAGACTCTTTGAGAATCGACTTAATCAACACCAGTCTTGAAAATTAGACATGCGTCACCTCTGGCAGGGAGGAGGGGTTGCACAAATGAGTTGTGGAAATATTTTGTGGAATCAAAGGTCAGCTTGGCAAAAGTTAACATCTACAGACACAGGGCCTCAAAGAAAACTGAGCTTTAAGTAAACTTACTTGAAAAGGCGCCGCGATTTGCGCTTCAACCTTATCACCTCCGACGTGAAAGCAGAGAATACTGATGTGCACTGTGCTGAACGCAACAAGATAAAATTCTTTCAATTTTCTGCCACTGATGGCTAAGAGAAGCTTTCATCTTGTCTGCACCCTGTGTTGGAATAGCCAGGAGAAAAACTGAAAACTTCAAGAGGTGATTTCGCTTGCCGAGTTCAAAGCATCATCCCAGAGCAATGGAAGCCTAGCTTTGAACGCTGCTTGCTTGCTCTCGCTCCGTCGCTCACCTGCTGATTTATTTATTTATTTATTTTTAGATAGATGGATTTTAGAACGCCATTTTATGGGGGAATATTTTGATTGTGTGCCTGGATCCATGTGAACGTTGTGGCCTGTGGTAAACCAAGAGCAGCAGACGTCCCACGGAGTGCTGTTTTACTCTAATAAGCACTTCTGGTGAGAAACACAAAGAATCCTGCAAAGGAAATTCTTTTTGGAGCAATTTCCTGCAAGATCAGACTGTGTTCTCCACATGTCAGCACCCTGAAAAGCATCAATTTAAACATTACAGCCTAGATTGGACATTGAACTCCCAAATGTACAGGCACTAGGCATACGGTCTGTGACTGAAAAAGGAAGTACGGGGGGATTGTGACAGGAAGTGTTCAGCATTTGGCAAAGACAAAGCATTCTGTTAGACCACTTCCAAGTATGGTTAAGGTAGTTAGCCTTCTTTCCCAAAGAATGTCATCTTATTGTTTAAAGTTGCTCCTTTCCTTTTGGAAAAACAGTGAGCAGCGAAGCTGAAACTTATCACTCCACTCACCCGCATTCTCACGCTCCCACCACAGGTTAACAGGTTTTCAAGAATAGTTTGAGTTTCACAGTCAGTTTGAGCTTGTCTGACTTGGCCTCCAAATTCTGCAGATCTCAATCCAATCAAGCATCTGTGGGATCTGCTGGACATAAAAGTCAGATCCAATGAGGCCCCACTTCACAACTTACAGGTCTTAAAGGATCTGTTGCTAACATCTTGGTGCAGATACCACAGCACACCTTCAGGGATCTAGTGGAGCCCATGCCTCGATGGGTCAGGGCTGTTTTGGTAACAAAAGGGGGACCAACACAATATTAGGCAGGTGGCCATAATGTTATGCCTGATCTGTGTATATTAAGTGATCTAATGCTGCCCAGCAGGTAGGAGTGATGCCCTAAATTGTTAAATGATGCATTGCTGCAATGCCTCACACTTTCAAATTAAATTGTATTCAATTCTCTGTTCTTCCCATTCACTCACCTCCAGGGAACCCATCCCAGATCTCCAGCCGGTCATAGCGGCAGAACACACCAGTAGGGGGTGTTGGGTCGGGCTCCAGCTCAAAGCTCTCGAACTCCAAGATGATTTCCGACATTTTCGGGGCAAAGATCATGAAAGTGCAGTCCAGGTTGTTGGGGTATTTCTCGGGGAACCCAGGTGACTTAATGATGCCGCTGTTGGAGGTGAAGTTCCTGGAGCATTCTGGACCTGCAGGAAGGATGACAGGAAGAAGTGAGAAGATGAATGGGGGACAAAGGAAGACATTTGAATGACTATTGCTTAAGTGAGTTGCTTAGGTGTTAAAGTTTTAGAAGCTCAGCCTTCCAGCTGCCCTACTGAGGGGAGGACAGTTTACGGCCCATAGGTGCAAGACCACCTCAGTAGTTCTTGTTTTCACATCTGGATCTCTACATCTGGATGTTCAAAAGCTCAGAGCTTTTGAGCATCACACTCCATCACTGTCTGTATGTGTGTTAAAACTGGAGGAACATCTGGGCTGAAAGTGTAAACATTAGTGAAAGGCCTCAATCACCAGAATCGGGGGAATGATGAATAAAGAGCTTGATTTGTTCTGATGTTCTCATGTCTGCGAAACATATGAGAGGTGCTCGAGCAAAATTACAGCGTCAGTGATGGAAAGCAAAGTGAATGACTGCGCATTCATCAACACGCACGCACGCACACCTAAACACACAGTTTTACACCAGGAAAAGTCAAAATATTTATGCACAGCTCCCCGGAGAGCTACCTTTCAGCTGATGAGGAGTATTAACGCATTTCCCATGGCAGACACTTCTCACAAGCACAAAATTATGATTTAAGAATGATTGACATGTGAGTCAAAAAAAAACAAAAACTGAGACTAGCAGCTGCTTGAAAATGTTTAAATGTATGTGACAGACATTAGGATGCGTTCACTATGCAGACTCGAGCATCAGTCCCAAGTGTTAGAAAGCGCCTGTTTTATACAAACATATACACAGAGATAGAAAATCAGAAAAAAAAACAGAATTACTGTTGTTCGGGGCAATTATTTTGAGCCATTAGTTGTAGAAATGTACCCAGGATAACATCATTTTCATGCCTGTCTGGCAGCTGGCGTGATGGGTGCAGGTGGGGCCAATCGAAACCAAAATTGCAGGGAGTTATCATTAGACAGAGCCACCGTGCCGCAGTCACTGCAGCTTAAATGAATGTGGCAAACTGCTTTTTTTCCATCGCCACTCAAGCATCTCGCTGGGCCCCTAATTGAAGACCATCAACCCCACTTGAGCCTGTCCACCGGTGCTTTGAGTGAAGGGACGGAGAGCCACGTTGATTTTCTCCCCTCGTCCCAAGCTGAAAGCCACAGCGAGCCGGCGCTTTGACTCCAAAAAGAGTTGACATTTAGTGCGGCGGCTAAAATGTGGCTTTCGCGAACAGTGGGCGCCATTAATTTCTCAGCTTCCCCCTTCGTATTTACCCCAGGAAAAATTCGGATTGATTTTTG